CCAAGTAGCTGGGACTACAGGTATGCATCGCCATGCCCAGCTAACTCTTTATTTTTTTTATTTTTTTATTTTTGTAGAGATGAGGGTCTCACCTTGTTACCCAGGCTGGTCTCAAACTCCTGGCCTCAAGCAATCCTACCATCTCAGCCTGACAAGGAGCTGGGACTATAAGTGTCACTCACCTCACCTGGTACAAGTTTTTTTTTTTCTTTTTTTTTTTTAAAGATACTTTAGGTTTATTCATTTAAAACTATAAGAGTTTTTTTTTTTGGGGGGGGGGTCGTTTTTCTGAGACAGAGTCTTGTTCGACTGCTCCCAGTAGAGTGCAGTGGCATCACATAGCTCACTGCAACCTCAAACTCCTGGGCTCAAGACTTTCTCCTAATGCAGCCTTCCAAAAAGCAAACATGAAACTATAGGAACATGCCACCAAGCCCAACTAACTTTTGTACTTCTTTAAGTAGAGAGGGGGCCTCACTCTTGCTCAGGCTGGTCTCAAACTCCTAAGCTCAAGCCATCCTCCTTTGGATTCCTAGAGTACTAGGATTACAAATGTGAGACACCACACCAGGCCACAAAACTATTTTAAATTGATAACATAGATGGCCCCCAAATTACCAAAGCCTTATGCACCACGTTCCTCCACAGAAACAGTATTAACACATTTAAAATTCCTCATGTTATTGTGATACGTTAATCAAAATTTCCAAAATGAATTCATCACTGTTTGCCTTTTGCTTAGCTAATTTACAGAGATGATTAAAATGTCCTTGGTTAGCTTAAAAAACATTAGGATCATGCTTCTTTCTAGGGATACTTAGGCCAAAAACCAGAGGAAAACCTTGTTTCTGATAGGAAAGATGAGAAAACACTTTTTTCCATTTTGTTTATTTTTTTCCTAAACTGTTAGGTCTTTTCCAAATTGGTGTCCCTGTCTACATTGTCTCTTTAATCTACTTAACATAACATGGCCATATTAATTTTCCTGGAAACATGGTTCTTATTGTAATACCACCTTTTTAAAAATCATGAAAATAGCTCACATTACTGTATGTTTACTGCGTATGGCACTCTGCTAAATGCTCCATGCCCGTTTTTCTCCATGTAGTCACACAGAGACCACAGATTACACGATTCCATTTATATTGAATGCCCAGAACAGACAAATCTATAGAGACAGAAAGCAAATTAATGGTTACTTAGGGAGAAGAGGGGGACATGGTGTGACAGCTAAACGGCATAGAGTTTCTCTTTGAGCTGATGAAAATGTTCTAAAATAAATCGTGACGATGTAAATATACTAAAAAATACTGAATTGCACACCTTAAGTTGGTGGATTGTTACATCTCCATAAAGCTGTTATCAAAAGAATCCTGCCCCATTGTTAATATCTTATTTATTTATTTATTTATTTTGCAGTTTTTGGCTGGGGCTGGGTTTGAACCCACCACCTGCAGCATATAGGGCAGGCACCCTACTCCTTTGATCCACAGGCGCCGTCCTGTAATATCTTTTTTATATGTGAAGCACATATGCATTGATAAGCAAAACACATATCCCCAATAAGAAAATGAGCAGAGGATATAAAATAGAAAACTTATTTAAAAAAATACAAATGGCTCATGAACTTGTGGGTGGGGGAAAAGGCTTACCCACTAATGCAGATTAAAACAGGAAGATACCTAATAAAGAAGTAAAGAATTTTATAGCAAAGATAAAGATGAGATGTGGTGAGATGGGCATTCTTACACATTGATGATGGGAGAGCATTCTGGAAAGCCATAAATGTGCACTGTCAGTCTTTAGGTTTTCTTACCCTCCCAGACAGAAAATAATCTATCATCGGAAATAATTTTAATGCACATAATTAGGTAATAAGTAATGAGATAGTCATAAAAGGGGGGAAACCATGTGGTAAGCAAACTCTAAACTGGTCCCCAATGATCCCTACCTCCTGGTGTTCATCTTTATGTAATCCCCTCTTCTTGGGGATGGGCTAGACTTACTGACTCACTTCTAACCAATGGAATGCAGCAGACAAAAGAGGATGTCACGTCCAAGATGAGATTACAAAAAGATTGTAAATTCCAACTTGGGTAAACTTTCTCCTTCCCTCTCGCTCCCTTTTTCTAATTCTACCACATATGTGTATATCCGTATTTCTCTTTACATATATCTCTATAGATCTATCCATCACCATGTTCCCACTCTCACGGAAATTATTTTCTTTTTCTTTTCTTTTTTTTTTCTTTTTTTGAGACAATTTCACTCTGTCTTCCTGGGTACAGTGCTGTGGCATCATCATAGCTCACAGCAACATCAGTGTCTTGGCCTCAAGTGATCCTTTTGCCTCAGCCTCCCCAGTAGCTGGGACTGCAGGTGTTTGCCACAATGCCCAGCTAGTTTTTCTTTCCCTTTCCTTTTTGTTTTTGGCTAGTTTTTCTAAGGTTTTTAGTAGAGACACGTCTCTTGGTCAGACTGGTCTTAGAACTTCCGGACTCAAGCAGACCCCTGCGTTGGCCTCTTAAGAGTGCTAGGATTACAGGCGTGAGCTACCACACCAATGGGAACTTATTTCGTAATGAGTTTTCATGTTGATTTCTTCAACATGATAGACCGTAGCAGATGAATCAGAAATTTACATTCTACCGGTAGACCATTTTGGTTCAAAAAGGAAATAGTGAAGAATGGGGTTTTCCCTTCTGCGGTTGGCTTGCGCAACTTGAGTGAGTAGTGAATGGAATGGGCTGTGGAGTAGAGTGTTTGCTCTGAGGAAAGTTGTCAAAATCAAAACAGAGTCCCTAATCTTAAGAAAACCCTCACACATGGAGCTGGGGACGGCCATAAAGAAAGGATTCTCATGCTTATGCCTGACAAATTAAAAGGACTCTATAAAAACCATAACTGTGCACAACAGCTGCGACAAACTTATACAAAAAAAGACTTCTGTAAGGACATCTACCCAGCAACAGCCTGTCCAACCCTGGACTGGCATCACTCTCGTTATCCATCTTCGTAGCCAAAAATTACATAACCTTCTACATCTTTTCCCTTTAAAAGCCTTTGCCTTCCTTTGCCTCCCTGAGGGCACACTATGGCATGCATCTTCCCATGGCAATTCTCTGTTCCCAAATACACACCATTTTCTTTTAGAGGACCTCTTCCTGTTTGTTATTTAGGTTGACAGTTTAAAATCCTGGTGCTACAAACTAGCACTGAGTGATCTTGGATCCACAGGCAGCACAATCTCTGTGTGCCTCAATTTCCTTATCTGCAGATTGGTAACCTTTCTCATTCACTCTGCAGATAACAACCTAAATCATTAGGTTGTTGGGAGGCGTAAGTTGACATCAAGAGCTTAGAAGAATGCCTGGCACTTGGAAAAACAGTCAAAATTATTAGTTGTTGCTGCTATTGAGATGAAGATAACAGAAAAAGAAATTGAAATTAAAAATGACTGTGAGTACTTAGAAAGTGTAACAGTTATTAATATTTCTCTATTACAGTAGAATCATGCTATTAAAGGTTACCTAGTTTAACCGGTTATGGGAGTGATTTATACACTATGTGATAATTAACACAGTGAATTAGAGGTGCCCGAGGGAAGGAATAAAAGAGTAGTAAATTTTATTAGGTTCTCCAGGGAATGTCTCCAGAAAGAAAGGATGCTGAGGCAGGCTGGGTCTGGAGGGGAAGGATGTGGAGAGCAGGGAACAGGAGACATCTCTCCCACTTCTGAAACCAGGACAACTCCTGAGGATCTTTAATGGCTTTAAGCACCAAAAAGGGACATGTCTCCCATATTTAATTCAAAATTAAAAAGATACTTCACTGTCAAATATGTGAATGGAAGACCCGCAACGTTCTGGCTTTCCCCATAATGGCCACTTTAATATATTTTTCAACATTAAATTCTTTATTTAAAAATTTCTCCTCATTTTCTGATATCGCTGCTTTGCTGATCCCTAAGCACATTCTTGTTTTGATTAATAGGTAATCTCACTTGGGAGTTCTGGCCTCTGACTCCTCACCCCTTGGCATTTGCTTGGCTGACTCCCACACATCCTTCAGAATTTAGCTTAGAAATCACCTCCTCCAGGAAGCCTTCCCTGATCCTCCAAGAGTAGGTTTTATAATTATATCCTTCTCTTTCACACCTCCCTCCAGAATGTTAATTTTTTGAGAGCCAGGCTAGGTGGATCTTTTTCAACACTGCACCCCTCTGTGCCAGAACAGGGCTCAGCTCAAAGCTGGATGAAACTTTACTAAATGAACAGATTATTGAAGGAGTGACCCCTCACCTCTCCAGACTCTTCCAACAAGTACCTGACCCACGATCTGTCTCCAGAAGCCTTACACTTTTGCTCCCTCAAAGCCAGAGATCTTCCTGGCATGCCTTTGGTTGGACACTGAGTTCCATGAGAACCCAGGTAAAGGATTAAAAATTACAAGCTCAGACTGAATTTTATGACTAAAATTTCTGAGCAGAGGAGTGATAAAGTTAAAAAATACAACATTTGTGATCTCAGTCTGAGGAATCTCTGGGTTTTATGAAATTTGAAGTCAAGTTTCCTCTGCAAACTATCCCTCCCCGTTTGGTACAACCTCCCCTTAATCATTCTTTTCTGTGTGTGTGTGCCTATGTATGCAACTAAAATGACTTTATTCCACTTGGGTACAGGTACTTGAAATTTCCAACAGAGAAGAAATCTGCACGTGGGTAATGATGAACTGGGGCTTTAAAGGTCAGGAAGGTGGGAGTCAGGGGGCTTTAAAGGTCAGGAAGGTGGGAGTCGGGACATTCCCTTTCCTGGGTTGAACATCTGTTGTAAGGGTGGGGGTTGGCCCATTTACATTTCCCAGCTGGGCCATCCAGTGGGGTGGGGAAGAGGATTGACCCATTCACCTTTCTTAGGTGGGACATCTGGTGGGAGAGGGTGTATTCTTTTAGGTGGGTCCACCTATTTGGGCGGGTTGATCCTATCATCCCAGTCTTCTTCTATTATAAGGAGATGGGATGGTGGGCGTGGTATCTCCTTGACTATTTCCCGTGGGGGGAGGGGCTGCGTGGGAGGAGGACGGGGAATGGGGGAGGGGAGTGGCGCCTACAGGAACTCTTTGGCTTTTTTAGTCTGAGCTGGTTGGTATCCAGTAAGGTGAGGATATGAGGAGTTGTTTTCGGGTGACTGTCTGGTTAATAATGAAGATACGAGGCAAAGGGTTACTAGTTCAAAACTGAGAATGAGAAAAAAATCATAATTAGTGACCTTATGAGATAATAACCAAAGAGGAAGATGGGCAGTGAGAGGCATCGGGAACCAGTTGGAGTTGCCAGGGCCACCAGCAATCCTGAGAGGCCATCTAAAACTCCTTACCAAGATCTCTGCCCGTTTTTTAGAGGATTTTCACAAGGTGGCAGTGTGGATGAAGGTGTTCCCGTGTTTGTTAGAAAAAATAAAATATCGGCTTACCTTCTATAAGCAAAAATACCTAGAGTTCAGTTTTCCAGGACGGTGTCCAGGAGGCATTCTGATTTTCCAGGGGTCACTGGTCTTTTGCAACTAGGCCCAGGAGGGAATTTCAGCCGCATTCTGAGAGTGTTCACATCAGATCTTCAGAAAGACCCAGGCAGCCAGACCTCTGCAGCTGGACATGGTTTGGGGGGTGGGGGGTGGGGTTGGATTTTGGGTACTGCTTTGCCCAGAAGCTTGGTTTGCTGCACTTAAAACACGATTCTGAGGAAGTTTTTTTTTTTTTTAAATATCTTGCTGAGTTTTAAGAAGTAAGGGGGTTTGCTTAATGTCAGAAGACAACACAAGATCTTAGAGGCACTGCCACACCTTGAAGGCCAGATTAATGAGATCTGCCTAGGAGGTCTGAGGGCCCTGGGGGAAATTCCCCAAGTATTTTTTCTACCGTGTACAGCAAAGGGTGTGTGGGGGCAGTGGAGAGAGGAGGGCATGGGGTATTATTTAAGGGAAGGATATGGACATGGGTGTTGGAGGGCAATGAGAATAGGTGACTGATGGGAGGTTATAGACGGAAGAGAGGATCCCACACAGAGAAACTTTCCAGGTGTTCTGATCAAGAGAATGGAGGGATTGTAGGAGGGCGTTGGAGAGGAGCAATAGGGGCTGTGGAAGGGTAACAGGATGAGCTGGTGTTACCGCAGCCAGGAGAATCTGAGAGGGGTCATAGGATGAGCACAGGGAAGGAATGTTTTAGAGTATGAGAAATGCCTGGATATAAGTAATTATTGAGATCGGTGAGAATAGAGAGATCAAAGGTACCATGTTGAGGCCACTGCAAGCCACTGTCTAGCTTGTACGTAGGCCAAGCAGTATTCCAAAAAAAATGAGATGGTTTGGGTTAAGGTCAGGATAGAGCTTTAGAGGCTTGAGATTAGTCAAAAGACAGGTTAGGGTGAAGAAGGGGAAATGTGTGACTCTGGAGGTAAAATGCAGCTTACAGGTGAGCAAGGGGAATCTGTGACTGAGCGGTGCCCATAGGGAAAACTGGAGGAGGGAAAAGAAATGAGATTAAAAAGAGAAGGTAGGAGGAGGAAAGAGAAAGTCAGATTGGCCAGAGAAAATGGTGATCCAGGCCTCCGGGAGTGCACTGGACGGGTGAGCTTGGCTCACAGAACCAAAAATGATCCAGCCCACAGTAGGGCAGTGTGATGAGCCTGGCTCATCAAGACTGGCGTGGGGAGACTGCCTGGACTCTCCAAGTTTGACTTTGATCAAAAGAGGACCTGGCCTCTGCATTGACCTTAACCAGCTGGAAGGATCTAGGCCCACAGTAGGGCACCAGAGGGGCAAAGCTGGGGAACCAGCCGGAGCCCAGGCCTACAAGAGGGCATCCCCAAACATGAGGCCCTGGGCAGGTGGGCGAGCCTGGCTCACTGGAGTGGCTGGGGCTGAGATCAGAGAAGCAAGGCCTCCACGTGTGAAACCAGCCAGAAAAAAAAATGGGGAAGGAAGAGGAAAGTCTGTGGCTGGAATCAGGGAGAGAGGTCTCCACGTGTGAAACCAGCCAGAAGAAAATGGAAAAGAAGGAAGTAAGAGAACCAGAGATGGAGAGAGAGGGAAAGAGGAAGTGAGGAGTTGATGGGAAGAGGAGTTAAAAAAAGTTTAGAAAAGGAGCTTTAGATGAAAAAGTTCATCTCACCAATAAATGGATGTTTAGGCAGGGTCGGTCAGAGAGGTGTCCCAGTTTCTTTCATCTCGCCAGAAGACAGGTCCATTTAGCTGTGTCCAATGGGGTATACTTCGTCCCCTCCTTAAAGGGGCTTCTCCCCATCCTGGGTTTGTCACCAACTGAAAGGTTACAGAGCCAAAGATGAAAGATTATTCCAAGGTGTGAGACAAAAGGAAATGGAGGGTGCAGGTGGGTAAATCCACACCCTTTATTCTTTGGATAGAGAGTTTTCCTGGCTGGAAAGGCTCCTTCCAATTTCATTTGCCTCTAATTAGTCACAGATTTATTAGCAGAATTGCTAAGAAATTCTTGAGACCATCTAGCTCAAAGGTTACAACTTCTCCTACATGGCCAGGGTGGTCTTTGGAGGCAGCACACGTAATTTTATTTTACCATTATGAGATTGGGGTGGGAGGAGAATAAGAATTTAAATGCTGGCTCGGCGCCTATAGCTCAACCGGCTAAGGCGCCAGCCACGTACACCTAAGGTGGCGGGTTCGAATCCCCAGCCCGGACCCGCCAAACAACAATGACGGCTGCAACCAAAAAAATAGCCGGGCGTTGTGGCCGGCGCCTGTGGTCCCAGCTACTTGGGAGGCAGAGGCAGGAGACTCGCTTGAGCCCAGGAGTTGGAGGTTGCTGTGAGCTGTAATGCCATGGCACTCTACCTAGGGGGACAGCTTGAGGCTCTGTCTCAAAAAAAAAAAAAAAAAGAATTTAAATGCTTTGGTGGGGGGCCATAGCTTCTTTCATTGGCCTCTAAGGACAGATCTGAGCTTTGGCCACTGATGTCATTTGAACCTCCAACCCATCCCAAGAATTCCTTTCCCAACTGTGTCAGGTAGGGATGTCCTCCCCTTTCAAACTCAGTTCAAGTCCTGGCCTTCCTCTGGGAAACCCTTCTCTGCTCCCCTCCCACCCCTGGCTTTTTCCTCCTGGGTCTTTATGTTTTTCACTTTGTTACTGGTTGTGCTTAGCATCACCAGTGCAGAGACAATAAAACCCAGCAGGGACCTGTTGTTTTTCATCCAGAACAGGCTCCCCCTTTCTCTTTCAAAATCTGCCTTTCTCCCCAGCTCTAGCTGGAGGTTTCCTGTGGGAGCAGACCATCACCTCCTTAGAGATCCCATCCCCTTGGGCCCTGGCAATTGGCCCAGGATGGAGGCCTGAGTTAAGCCAGGCCATGTATAGTTCTCTACTGTCCCTCTGGACACAGCCATTGATCCAGGCTTGACCCAAACTGGGCCAGAACCTTTCCCCAGGGTTTGTATACTTGACCCCAGGGAAGCAAATATCATTCCCTCTCGCTGTCACAGCTGGGTGGAGCCAGCCTGGTGGCTGTTGCTGGACTTGCCACCAGCCCTGGGAAGAAAACCAACACACAGAGAGAACAGCAGAGAGGAGGGGTGGAGGAGACTCTCTGTGGAGTCCAGAGAGAGAACAGCAGAGAGTAGGGGTGGAGGAGACTCTCTGTGGAGTCTGAGTCTGCAGTTCTCCATTTGGTCTAAGCTAGTCCAAGTTGGGATTTTTGTTGCTTGAAGTTGTGTCCTAAGTTACACAATCCTTTGTCTCTTTGTCAAGTAGAGTTCCAGATGTACTAACCATAGCGGGGAAGTTAATTTTGTTCATTGTGATACTGCTTGACCATCTCCTTTCATCTGAGTTAAAATGTACCACTTCTCAGGTACTGAGAAATAATTATAAGGCTGAGAATGAGGGAGATGAGGCTGGTGTCCAAGAGACAACCAAGGACAGGAGAGGTGCACAGAGCACAAGGCACACAGCAGAGTTCAAAAGAGAGGGACACTTGTGAACTGGACTTCATATTTTTAAGTTTTTTTGAGGCTGGACATGATGCATGCACCTGTAGTCCCAGCTACTCCAGAGGCTGAGACAGGAGAATCCCTTGAGCCTAGGAGTTGAGGCTGCAGTCAGCTAGGATTGTGCCATTGCACCATAGCCTAGGCAACAGACTGAGATGTTTATTCATATTTTATGGCACTAGAATAGAGCTTTTCCAGGTCTGGCTTGATCATTTGGAAAACTGTTAGGTAGAATCTCTACCTTGTAGCTTACACTAAATTGGTTCCAGATGCCGTGTTCATGGTTCTTTTCTCTGCTCACTGCCTTCAACAACAGGGACAGAAGTTGGTGTCTGTATTTGTGCCGAGATCACTCTAAGGATCATAGTACTGTAATCATGACAGGCACTTATAAAAATCGTTTCTGTGTTGATACAATTGAGAGAGGGCCAGACGCAGTGGCTCATGATGGGAGGATTGCTTGAGCTCAGGAGTTCAAGACCAGCCTAAGCAAGAGTGAGACCCCATCTCTACCAAAAATAAAAATAACTATGTGGGCGTGGCAGCACACACCTTTAGTCCTAGCCACTTGGGAGGCTGAGGCAAGAGGATTATTGAGCCCAGGAGTTTGAATGTGCTGTGAGCTGTGACACCACAGCACTGTACTAAAAAAAAAAAAAAGGATATAACTGATAGATAAGACATCTCTTGTAGATACAGCTGTCTGCCTAGCACACATTTCCATTCTTCTTCAGGTGGCATCGCTGTCCTTCTTTGAGAATAATTGCTTTTCCCTCACTCCAACCACATGGTCTAAGTGGGCACAACCAATCTTATTAAGGGAGATACTTACCACAAGCTACACTAATCATAGTACCTTGCCTCCCCCAGCCATGCTGATTCGCTTTAGTGTGACCCAAATCACACTAAAGGCCAAAAACCCTTCCACGTTTTCTTTTTTTAAGAGATGGGGTCTCACTATGTTGTCCAGGCTGGTCTTGGATTCCTGGATTCAAACAATCCTCCCACCTCAGCCTCTTAGTAGCTGAGATTACACTGTGTCTGGCTCCATGGGATTTTAAAATCCAGATCGAGGGGGCAGTGCCTGTGGCTCAGTGAGTAGGGTGCCAGCCCCATATACCGAGGGTGGTGGGTTCAAACCCAGCCCCAGCCAAACTGCAACAACAACAACAAAAATAGCCAAGCATTGTGGTGGGTGCCTATAGTCCCAGCTACTTGGGAGGCTAAAGCAAGAGAATCACTTAAGCCTAAGAGCTGCAGGTTGCTGTGAGCTGTGATGCCACAGCACTCTACCAAGGGCAACAAAGTGAAACTCTGTCTCAAAAAAAAAAAAAAATCCAGATCTAGGGGAAGAAATAGCAAAACGTTTCCTTTCCTCTTAGTTGGTGAAGCCATGAAGTGACCCAGAATCCCCAACTGGTACCTCTCACGAAAGACAGAAAATACTTGTCTACTTAGGAGAAATAATTCAGAGAAAAAGAGAGAGAGAGTGCACTCCCAGTCTCTGAAAATACCTGAACTTCTCTAGTTCCTTCTTTTCTAAGGCTGAATTGTTGAGCTTCAGTGGAGACCTACTCCAGTACCCAATAAATCACTCTCACTTTTCTTTTTTCCCCCTTACCTTAGTTTGAATTCAGTTTCTGTTGCTTGCAATCAGAGTCCCGGTGAATACGTAAATTGTCTGGAATTTATTTTGGTTTTCCTCAAGGAGCATTTAGAGAACTCAAATGAAAAGCCTGCAGTTTGGGAACAGACTTGAAGAACCGATTGTTTTCAAGAGGACAATAGAACAAAGCAAGAGAAAGAAAAAGTTTCAAGTGTGCGTGTATTTTTGTTAGCCCTTGTCATGGTAATAGCTGTCATTACCTAGGAGGCTGATCTGTGTTTGACAGGAGAGAAAACGCCCAGCAAACCAAACAGCTGGAAACTGATTTTAAAGCTCAGACTTCATTTCATCAGACTAGAATATGTTCCTGGCATGAAAGGAAAACTTTCCTTTAACCTTACATATTTTCGGGAAAATACTTGTGATCAAATGTTGGAGCTGGAAATTCCTGCTGTATATCTCTCGTTAATAGTTAGTCAGCTACACATGTATTCATTGTTAGACACCTACAGGAATTATAGCAGAATCTACTGACTCATTCATTCCCGGTACTCTGAAAGAGGTCCAGATTGTTTATTTGTTAGGTGCCAGGCCTGGCAGAAGGGTTCATTCAAGAACAGATAGATCAAAAATCCATCAGAAGGCAAAAAGAGGAAAAAAAATTCTTAAGCAGGAGTTGGCCAACGATGGCCCGCCAGCCTGCTGCCTGTTTCCATATATAAACTTATATTAGGACACAGTCACATCACTCATTCACATGTAGTCTGTGCTGCTGTCCTGCTCTGATGACAGTGTAATAGAACTGCCACAAAATTTATAATACTTACTATTTGTCCCTTGAAGGGACCAATAGACCCTGACCTCTGGTCTAGGACAACACTCGAAACATAAAGAAGTTGAGGGCCAGCACAACAGATTTTAGGCCACGTTGCTCCCAAAAGTTCTTCCAAGCTGAACCAACTGCCTTTGGCTCTGCCCAGCAGAGAACATTCTGGGGCTCAAGGAGCAACCTTATCGGGATCTAAATATGGCACAGCTTGCTCCCCACCCCACTTTCTTGGTCCTGCCTTGCTGCTCACTTTCACTTTCGTTTATTATTATTCTTCCTTGTTGGTTTTCCATGTCTATAGCCCAGGGCATGAATCTCACCACTGCCTCTTACTCCATAAATCACACGCTTGCCACTGGTCAGCTCTTTGGCCACCAACTGGCTTCCAGTTGGAACTCAAGCCCTACTCCTGAGTGCTGTCTGGTGAGAGATATCTGTAGGAGATCAAAACAGAGAAGAAAATGAAGATTGGGTGTTTGTTTTCCTGCTCCTTCCTGCTGGGATGCTGTCTGCCTTTGCCCACGGCCACAGTCCTGGCAGGCCACCTCCTCCATTCATTTACTCTTCACAGATTTTGAAACTCACCCTTCTCCTTCAGACCTAGGAGCCAATGGTTTCCTACTTGTGCTGACCCTGGAGAACTGTGCTTTCCTATGCCCTATTGACTTTCCTAAACCCTGCCCACCTCTTTGTAAATAGTCCTGTATTAATTATTAATTGTGGTGTAAGGAATTACCCCGAAACTTAGTGCCTTTTTAAAAGAGCAAACATGTATCATCTCACATGGTTTCAGGGAGGCAAGAATCTAGCAGAGGCTCTGCCGGGAGGTTCTGGTTCCTATTCTCTTCTGAGGTCATGGTCAAACTGTTGGCCAGAAAGGCAGTCATTGAAACCTTGAATGGGGCTGGGGGATTCACTTCCAAGCCCATTCTCATGGCTCTTGGCAAGAGGCTTTGGTATCTAGCTACATGGGCCTTGCCTTATGGCTGCTCATGACACAGTAGCTGGCACAAAGCAGGGTACCAAAAAGTCTTTTATAGTTCACTTTGCCAGAACATTGACCCCCATGTGGGGGTCTATTTCAGAACTCTCTATTATGTTCCATGCTCTACTTGTCTGTCTTTGTACTAACACCACACTGTGTTGACTAATGCAGCTTTAGACTATATCTTGAGGCCTAGTACAGTGGCTCATACCTGTAATCCTAGCACTCTGGGAGGCCAAGGCAGGTGGATTGCCTGAGCTCACAAGTTCGAGACCAGCCTGAGCAAGAGGAAGACCCCCATCTCTAAAAATAGCCAGGCGTTGTGGCAAGCATCTATAGTCCCAGCTACCTGGCAGGCTGAGGCAAGAGAATCGCTTAAGCCCAAGAGTTGGAGGTTGCTGTAAGCTGTGACGCCCAGGCACTCTACCGAGTATGACAAAGTGAGATTCAGTCTCAAAAAAAAAAAAAAAATTAAATACATTTTTTTCAAAGTATGGCTACAAATTCCAGTTTTGTTCCACAAACATTGCTGCTGCATTTTACACATGGATAACTCAAAGAATATATTGCTCGTCGCCTTAAGATGAATATATTATTTGCAAGTTCCTTGACCAATACGATTTTTTTCTCTGTTCTTCCAAATTTCATACACGAGAGGATTAAATGTTAGCATACTATCATTCTTGTAAATAAAACATTTAAAATGTGTTCAAATAAGGCATAGAGAAGTATGGAGTTTTAGGAGTGAATAATGTGAAATTTGTAGTTTTCAATTTTTACACAATCATGTACGTAATGGGTAGTATTATCACTTCTTCTTTGTAGAGACTTTTTGTTTTTGTTTTCATTTTTTTTTTTTT